CAGCATCTGGCCAATCCACCACCTTTCAATAACAACAACAATAACAATTCTGGACCGTGTCATAAAATTAAAGCCAGACATTCTCCTCCTAACATTTCTACAAACATTAGGAGAAAATTATCGTATGGGTACTAATTTTATCCAGGTCAGTAGTTTAAATTTGCCAGTTGGACTCCCTGCAGTATCCATCGAGAAGTCCTGGTGGTGAAAAGATGCTTAGAACTTAAGTGTGTAATAGACTCAGTTGTAAAAATTGTAAACTTCATAAAGACCAGGTTGGTCTTTCCTATTCCATGAGCTCTGTAATAAGATGGCCAGCAAACATGTCCAGCTTCTGCTCCATACTGACGTATGATGGCTTTAAAGTGGGAAAAAACTTTCTAGGCTTTTTGAATTTCACAGAAAGGTCCAGGTGTTTTTGAAGACACTGTGTGGCTCAAGCAGCTGGAATACTTGTTGAACATTTCTTGTTTAAATGAGCTGAATTTGGGACTACAGGGACTCTCCATCAGTGTTTTTGATGTGCAGGACCAAATCAATACAATGTCGAGGGCAGGACAGGTGATGCTTCAACTTTCTCCAGTTGGAGAGTTTCCTGTCTGACAACAACCCGACCCTCACCAAGTCAGACAACAGTTCATCTGTGCTGTCAGAGTCACTCCTTTCAGCCACGCTAGGAGAGTTATTATCTGAGTTTGTGCATGCAGAAGCTGATCGATCACTATTTTCTGAGCTTCTGAGATAATGCCCGTTGATCTTTGTGTTTTTTCCACCTAGAAACACCAGGTGCTGTAAGCTCAGGGTGGCTGTAGCTCAGGAGGTCGTGCAGGTCATTACAAACTGTAAGCTTGGCTGCTCCAGTCTCCTGCCAAATATCCTTGGACAAGACACCAACCCCAGGTTGTTCTCTGATAAATAAATCAGGGTTTGAATATCACATAGAAAGCACTTACACAGTTGTACAAATGGCAGAATTAGGCGTGTTGCATGAAGCACATTGAGTGCTCAGGTAGTGTAGGAAAAATGCTTTTTAAGAACCAGCCTATTTACCACGCAGCCAATCTGTTGACCCAGAATTGTAGATGGATATTACAGGATCAAATACTTATTTCAGTGAATCACATGCATATCGTGGCTTTTGTATAATGTGTTTATTCTGGATTTTTGGTTGATATTGTGTGTTTAGCATAAAAATTATTGGCTGTTCAGTTCAAACTTGTGTTACTCTCTGAGGTTTGTGATTGCTGCATATGTGCAGCAGATTTAGAAATGCTGCCATTGAGTGGTCCATGGTATGGCATACAGGAGGAGGTAAATGACCTGCACTGGTACTTCTTCAGGGACTCCAACAAAATGGAAATCTTTGGGACTGAAAAAATAAAACACGAATTAAAAGCAGTGTCTGGAACAATAGCTTCAACCAATGGGACAGAGAAACAGGGCTTTTGTCTGCATAGAGTCCCTGCTTCAAAGTAACAAGTCTTCTGATCTCTCACTCCAAATGAAAACAGTGTTTACCACCACTACTGTTTGAATATTTTTTGGATAATTTGATTGATTCTACAAAACAGGGCCTCATGGTTTGATTGGAGTTTCCTGAAGGCTCTTTCTGTTACAGTTCATTAACTAAACGTTGCCACACAATGTGCCTTTGTGAACCCACAGGCACATGTAATCCAGACTGAACGAGGCTTTATTGTTCCTACTGTATGCATTCTCTGTGAAACGACCAGTCATCCGTTTGAGGTATTTCAGTCTTCGATTCTGTGTTGTAATGACAAAGCTCATTGACGACATAACTTGCCAGCCACTCCATGTGAGCGGTAATCCTCTCTTACGGAGCTTTGTTACCAATGTTACGTGCAGACTGCTGCCTGCTAACAGGGACAGAGGAGCAGTGGAATGCAATAATCCCATAAACCCTGTTCCTCACGGTTTACCCACCACTTCTCCACAATACCATCATACAGATTTTAGTTAGGACAGCATTTTACAAAACTCCCTGCCTGCATTCTTCTTCTAATTTTCTTCAGTTTAAATTTTAAGGATCACCATCATTTTTAAGTTTTTTAGTTTTTACCTTAATCAGGTATTTTTTGTTTGTTTGTTTTTATCTAGAAGGTCACTAAATGGGGATGGACTCTGGGGTTAATATTTCAAATGAAGATGCACCTTATGGGGGGAAGAGTGCATTTACCCAACTAGAGCATAACATTGTGGCTGGATACCTCATCACTGCAGGTAACAACGAACAACCCTCATGCTGTGTTTTGCCATGTTTGCTCTGCGTTATGTTCTTCAGTTTTGCAGTTGTGTAAATGCAGTCATTGTGTGGTTAAGAGGGATAATAGTCTGTTATAATCATTTGAATTTTAATGGTTAAAGCCTAAATGTGTCTTTGATATTCTTTCTTTACCAGTGAGATGTCAAAGGATTCATCCAACCAAGCCCAGCGAAGCAATGTGGTTTCTTGACAAAACTTGGATATCAGTATTTATTGAGTTTTAACCAGCTTCTTATTTTCATATAATTTGATTGATTTTATGGAAGGTCATCTTCTTACAAGCTTAAAGAGAAATTCTTGTGAGTGTTGGTCGTGTTTATTCTTCAGCGTATGACTGGAGATAATCACTATTGTAACCACTTAGCAGCCACCAGGTGATTAGATAGAATCATGCCAACCTCCTGAGTATCATGTATGTCTGTTTTGTATTTGCTATTTGCAGGACAGATCAAACTATAGGTTTTAAGTGAAATCAACAAAGACTTGTAGTCAAAAGTTAATTCTATCTTTGTCTTTCTCCCTGATGCTAATGCACACACCACCTCCAGTCCATATTGGGTTCATTTTCGAAATAAGAGTCTATACTAGGTTACAGGATGTTGGCACAATGCTCCGTTTTATGCTGGGTTGCAGATGAATGGTCAAAAAAATACCTTTGACCTTTATTTGACCTGCTAATTGAAAGGTTGGTGGTTTGACTCCCTGTCTGCTCCAGTCTGTTGTATCCTTGGGCAAGATACTAACCTCAAGTTGCTCTTTAAAAATCCATTACAGTTTGAATGTAATGAACAGCGTGACTGTTAGAAAGAGCACAGAAAAAAGTGCTCGTGTGAATGAGGCAAGTTGTTGTAAAGTGCCCAGAGTCCTGTCCACACTGACAGATGATTTTTCTTGACCTCCATAAAAAAAAGGACTGCACTTATAATTGGCCATCTATTAATATGACATAAGACATTATCCCATAAGTTTAAAACTACACTGTTGTGAACATGGACTACAAAAAGCCTTTTGAAATAGTATGCTATGTATAATAATGACTAATCATCTCCTAAACTAAAGTCTGGGCTCTATCACGCATGCATAGACACGATTATTTATTTACAATACTGTTCCAGTTACTTATTGTCAGCAGATTAGACATGTGACCCCTCCGGGCTCCAGACAGCAGCTCAATATTAACCAACATTAGTCCAACTAATGTTAGGCTTGAGTTGACCGAGAAACGGTTTGTTTACATTCTTGAATGATATGAGACTTTATTTCCTAAAAGACCAAGACTTTAAGCTTCTTCAGGGCCACTTCCCTCATTTACAAACCAGCCTAAGCAAAACTGACAATTTGACCACCAACCTGGAGCCCAAACAGGAGAGGCCTGGTGTATGTTGGATTTTTATAAATATTAAATATAGTAATATTTGCTATTATGCTATTTATTTTGTCATTTATATTCATAAATATTACAATTCTGCTGCAATTTCTTTCAGCTGGAAAACATGCTACATGAGTTTGCTATGTTTTATCGAATCTAAGGCCTCAGAGAATACAGTCTGCCTATGTTGACCTATTTAAATACATTACAGTGTCCTTTTAGCTTTAGACAAAGCAACTGGAACCTGAAGCACTTTTATTTACTTTCTCCTCAGTCGACTTTTATTTGGATGAAGATATTAAATCTCGTATTAAATCTTGGGCAGTTGCACTCTCTGAGTGCTCTTGTTTGTATTTCTGTCTTTTTTAAAAGCTACTTTTATCCCTTGCCATTGTTTAATAGAGAGCCAACAAATAAATGTTTGTTGTATCCTACTACAGTGACAAATAGGGTATCTTAAACTTCATGTTTGACTGTAACACTGTAACACTGTCTTTCTTTTCATTTCTCAGGTGTCATCAGTTTAGCGAGCAACATTGTGGTGCTATTGATGTTTGTAAAATTTAAGGAACTTCGCACACCTACCAACTTCATAATAATCAACTTGGCTTTTACTGACATTGGAGTGGCTGGTATTGGCTATCCCATGTCCGCTGCTTCAGACATCCACGGCAGCTGGAAATTTGGCTATGCTGGTTGTCAGGTGTGTAGAATACGACTGCCTCTAATTCCACTACATGCACATCTAGTTTTGTCATTTTATGCTGTTTGTTGTTTAGGTTATGTTCAACCAACTGCAGCTATAGACAAATCTAGCACTTGTTAACATTGTTAGTGAACCCAGTCGTAAATAAACTAGGCAGTTTTTACCCATGTCTGTGTCAATATGTGGAGAGTATTTATGAGCAGTGTTGGGGAGTAACAGTTTCATATATTAGCCTATGCCCTCTCGATTTTTGGTAATTCGGTGCCGGTGGAAGACAAAACACACAATAAGAGGCTTTAATGTCTGTGTCTCAATCTCGCAACCCATGTCACCTCTACTT